GTTGTTTATCATTTAAACTCAATTTTTTTACATTTAGTGATTTAAACTAAATAAAGCCGTCGGGTTAATATTTGAAATGAGTGGTGAAATATTTAATTAAAAGAGCCATTATTGGAACCGGTGACTAATTTATTTATTTTAGATTACACTAGATTAGATTAGATTAGTTTAGATTAGATTAGATTAGATTAGTTTTCACCATCAATGGGGAAACTCACTTGTTGCAGCAGTATAGATACAGGAAAAGGGCACAAAAAAGTGACAGGAAGAAAAAGAGAACAAATAAAACTACAAATAGGAAGAGCTGAGAAATACAATACAATAGAGCTATACACACATTATATACACTATAGATCCACATAATGGAGACTATGATTTAAAATAAAATAGATAAATAAAATAAAATATGGTACAATTTGATATTGCACATGAGGTAGATATGTTACATAGCAAGGGATATATTGCACATGAGAAACCTGGGTATAATTTTGTAAATTATATAAAGATGCAGTGTGGAGAGAAGAACTACAACATGTTGTTATAGATTTAAATACTATAAAGGAAGAACAGTACACTCTTAAGAGGATATCAAGCAACTTACTCCCACCGCTTAACTTTTGGCGGCCAAAAAATATTCCAATGTAGGTCTTTCAAGTTTCAAACAGGGCTGCACGGGGGAGCAATTGGTTAGCACTGTTGCCTCGCAGCAAGAAGGTTGCCAGTTCGTGTCCCGGTGGGGGCACCAGAATCTTTCTGCATGGAGTTTGCATGTTCTCCCTGTGCAGCGTAGGTTCTCTCTGAGTTCTCTGGCTTCCTCCCACACAGTCCAAAAACATGTTGAGGTTAATTGGTGATTCTAAATTGTCCATAGGCGTGACTGTGAGTGTGCTTGGTTGTCTGTCTCTAAGTGTAGCCCTGTGATAGACTGGTGACCTGTCCAGGGTGTCCCCTGCCTTCGCCCTAAGTCGGCTGGGATAGACTCCAGGCCCCCGCGACCCTAATGAGAATTAAGCGGTGTATAGATAATGGATGGATGGAAGTTTCAAACACTGTTTGTGTTGGGTTGGCATAATAATGTTAGTAATTGCATCAACTTAATATTGTGTGTAATTTAAACTTACTTTTCTTGCTTTAGTTGATTTAAAACTGAATTCATGGTGTAGTAACTGAATGAAACAGTCTTGATAACATATTGTCATTCATTATCAGTTTTTGTAGTTATGGAGGAGTTGAAGTTGTTGGGGTAACATTTGAAACAAACCATTATTGGAGCTAATAACAATTTTATTTTATTTTTTTTAATTCTGTAAAGGAAGAAGACTACACTTTAAAAAGTAATTCAAGGAACCTATCCTAATCACTTAATAGTAGCAAGAATAAAATGACTAAATCTGATTGGTTGATAAACCTTTTCAGTGAAAAAGCATTATTTTGGGTTGGGTTGACATAATAATGTTGGTAATTGGATCAACTTAATGTTGTGTTTACCTTAAATGTAAGCGCTAGTTGATTTAAAGCTAAATTCAAGGTATAAGTACTGAATACTATTGGCTTGATAACTCGATTTTTGGTGGGAAACATAAAAGGGACACCTTAGCAGTTTTTAAAGTTGGGGGACCCACACAATGAGTCAAATTTAAAAAAAAAAAAAAAAAAAAAGTACTACGATTCCCTTATTGCAATCAATAGACAGTATTTTTTATTAGACCTTTATAGGCACACCTTGTCCCTGTATGTTAACATTACATTAGAAAGCAGATAAATTGAGGATACAGGTACAGTCCAAGCACCAAATTGTAGATAGTTTACCATGATTTTTTTTTAGCTTTTCAAATGCTTTCAGACCCAAAACTGGGAACCCATTTTAAGGGCGCTATATCTCTAGAAATATAACGTCTATAGCCATAAAAATTGGTATAAACACTAACAGCATTCTTTACAATAGATCCAAATGACTGAATGGCTCCAGCAGAGGTTACATGTTTAAAGATTGGCCTTTGAAAAGATAATGGTAAAAAAGTGCAAATATTTCAGACAAGTGTGGTATTGGTCACCTATAAAGTTCCTTTAGGTTTATATACTGTATATGGATGGATCTATATTTTATACTACAGATATAGACTTTGTTCAACATTTTACCAACTTTCAATGTCTCTGTCAACAACAGAATTTTTCAAGTATAGAAAACCAAGGTTCCATTTCTGTTATTTTGACATGTCTAAATTGGGATGTCGACTCTTTCTTGGGACTACAAAAACTTGCACTTTTTCAGGGGCCAATAATTAAACATTTGTCCTTTTGCTGGAGCCATTCAATCATTTATATCTGCTGGAAAGTATTCTGTCTATGTCTTCACCAAATTTCACGATAAGTGGGAGTTTATTTCTGAAGTTGTTGAACCTTTAAAATGGTTCCTCAAGTGCAATGTTTATTTGAGGGTGAAATTACAAAAAGTCCCAGGTCTGGAAACATGAAATTCTTCAAATTTAACCAGAATATTTTACAGATCTTAGTTTTCCAAATACCAAATAAGTAAACTCTGACATTTTCTCCCAATTCTGTCTGAATTGATGTGGACTGACCCACTTGGTGATTTAAGAAAAAATCCAATATTATTTAGCAACATGGTTCTGTAACTGTTCTAAAGACATTTCCACTATTCTCAGAGTGTCTTCTAACCAACTGGAAGAGAAAATATTCTGTATGTGGCTCAATAAATAAAGATTTGTAACACATTTGTAAAGCTGTGATCGAATATCCTATCAGGTAGCCAGAAATGGTGCGTGTCCCTGCCAGTAGTATTAACACAGTGGTTCATATGGAAATATAATAGCAAAATATCATCAATATAGAACACTATATGGAGACTATAGGGTTGCTGAGGTTGTATAAATGAATTCATTTCCAACTAATGTCTCTATTTAAATTAGGTAATATTAGGTGTTGTAGCTTGGGAAATGGGTTCAAAATCATCTTTAGAGAGCAGAAAAGTACAAACAATTTAACCTGGATGGTGAAAGGAGTTTGGAAAATGCTTTGAAGTGTTGCTAAATTCTTATATTTTTAGACCACACACCAGTTTGTAATGTTTTCTGTCATGACCCCCCCAGCCCCAGCCCTTCTCTCTCTGTCTCTATCTCTCGCTCTCTGTCCCTCTCAGTCTCTGCCTCTATGCACCTCAGCACCCAATCAAGGACAATCTCTGACGGCTGCAACTTCAGACTCACCTGCCCTCAATCACCTCAGCTCCCTTTAAATACCAGTTTTTTCCACCACACCCTGCCAGACCCCCATGTTTCTGTCAACCCCCGCTCTGGAGAAACAGACGCCAACCTGAGCTGTGATAACCCAGATTGTATTCCAAGAACATCACCAGAGTCAGTTTATTTGCTTTTAAAAGTTTCCCTGTAGAGCCACAGAAGACATTATACAGGTGAGTTTAAAGGCTGAACGGTGCTCCACTTGATAAATAAACTGAACTTCGTAGTAAGTCAGTGGCGTGCCCCTTTAATGACGCCTGCTGTAGTACGAGTGCACAGCACACCGCAGTCTTATTCGCCAAATTACTGTCATGGAAACAGCAGAGCAACAATGACAGTGTGGGCTGTGTGGAGTTAATATAAAGTCACGAAAGAGACAGAACAAATTAATGAGTTCTATGTAAGTGCTCCAAATGGCAGCCGTCCAATATCAAACCATCAGCCTCACAAGCCCAACTTATTTTAATCTTGACTCTAACACACAGCTCTTCATCGTTCATGGTGCATATAGTCTCTGGCAGAGCACCTGATCAACAATATCGATGTTGAGCTAATGACAGTTTAAAATTAGGAGGAAAAATCTAATCATAAAGTCTTGTCAAGTGTATAAATGCTATTTTTAACCTTTGTAGCACCTATAGACACACTGTGTGTTTCTCTCTCTCTGCTGTGATAAAACACACTTTACAAATACAAAATTACTTTTTTATGGTGCGAAAATTCAGACATAACACTTTCTGTAATTTTTCTTATGAACTGTACTGTAATTTTAAGGTACCATTTTAGGCAGGTGCCAAAAATAAACAGTGTACCTTTTTATTTCAATATCATCTGACAGCTACTTTGTGAAGTTTTTACACCAAAATCATACAATTGTTTTATAAAATATGGTACATTATTACGGACTTAACTCCACAACAAGACTATTCAGTGATCCAATGACTTAGATCTTTCACTTGAGTAAAAGCAGCAATACCACATGTCCTATATTCCAAACCTAAGTATAAAAGTATTCGTTACACACCAAAATGAACCAACATGGTGTTCTATTTTATACCGTACACTATTGAACTGTTATAACTGATGCATTAACATTTAATGCATTAGCATTTAAATATGGCAGCTGACTGAGCAGTTATAACTGATTTATCTCATTTTACTGTCAGAAGGCTTAATGTACTGTGTATCATTCATTTTATCCTGATCGGTTTTTAAAGCGCTAATCTGCTTTAGAGTAACTAGTAACTACAGCTGGCAGACAAATGTAGTGGAGTAGAAAAGTTCATGTAAGTGGAAAGTAGCATTAAAATACTCTAAAGTACCTTCACAGTTGTACTTAAGTGCATTACTTGACTAATTTGACTGTGCACTACTGATAATGTTGATAACATTAATAACAAATAAACTTTACTCCATCCTGAGCAGCTACAACCTTCAAATGCTTCCTAAGGTAGTGTATATGATGGCATAGCATTGAGAAAAGAGTTAATCTGCACAATGCGTATTTTTACTTTTAATTAGACTATTTTTACACTGTGACACGATGACTTCTGTGCAAGTGAAAGATCTTAATACTTCGTCCACCACTGTATCTGTGATGTCTTTGGGGCCCCGTGAACCCAGTTTGGGAAACTCAGCTCAAGACTGATGCAATTATGTTGTGAAAATACCCATAACCTCCCTAGAGCCTGCAGCATTCCCCATCCTCTGCCAACAACAGCCACCACCACAAACACGACCAAAATGGCACTTTCTCTAATAGAGTTTTACTTTACTGTCTTCACGACCAACAATAAATATCCTGCAACACAATACACAGTTTGTAGTCACAGACATGCTTAAAATAAAAAATATAAAAGACTAAACTAAAATGCTTGAGATAGCTTTGGGCTACTGGAAGAAAACAGATGAAATATTATTGCACATTTCTGTACATGGCCTGGTGTACAATTTGGCATATCACATGTCTTAAAAAAAATAAAATCAGCACTGAATGTTCCATCCCCCATGAGACTGTGATCAGTAATGGCCCTGTGTTAAGACTGCGTGATGAAACACAGGCAAACAGGTCAAAGAAGGTTACAAAAAAAAACATAAGGCAGATAATCTGAACTTAGAAAAATAATCCTCTCAGAAGATCCAAGCCAGAAAACTAAAGCATCAACTAAACAAAAGCTCTGAAATATGAGTTACATATTCAGCTAAAACGTTTACCAGCAAATCTATGACATTACTCTCAGCCACAGCAGAAATCTATGTCCACTCTCTAACACTGAAGTATATCCTCTCTTATATAAGACAAGCCCTGATGAGAATGCACATGAATATTGCTGTGGTGCACACAGATCTGACATGATTTTAGCAACAGTTTAAGGCAATATATTTGATGGTTGTGCACGCAAAAAAACTGTCTCCATTTGTTTTTAGCTGAATTGTGGAGCAATGCAAACCATGCAGACTCAACACTAATGACCACTGTGGCACTGACAGCCAGTGTGAAGATACTAAATTAACTGAAGAAGTGTGAGGTTCAGAGGCAATTTTTAGAATTCATCTGAAGATGTTAAAAGACAGAGTCACACTTTTCCCTGTCTGTCTTTACAAGTAACACATGTATACTGAAATAAAGGAAACCAATGTAATTATTACTTCTGCTCAGACACACTATGTAGAGAGGCTGCTTCCAATTTACAGTTCACATACAATGCAAAAATGTATTTCAGAGTTCAGCTGAAGCCAACAAGAATCTTGAGCAGTCAAATTAAGAGGGAAACTTCAAAAGTTTGTGTTTTCCCTTCGACTGTTTTAGTGTGCTGAGCTGCTGTGGAGAGACAGGGTTTTGCAGTAAAGACAGGACCTTTGGAAGAAACTTACTAGATTTGTCTAACTGGTACCTGCTTCAGCTAAACACAACAGAAGGACAGTAGATTTTGTCCCCAATCTTACTTTGGATGCACAATAAGAAGCCATCCTTTAGTATTTTTAGAGGAATGGCAAGCAAAACCTGTTTCAATGTACATCTGCACACCCAGCTTTAGAAAAATGTAAACCTATCCTTTACACATCAGTAACAATGAATTTGTAGAGGCCACCAGCAATGGGTAAACATGCATTAGCTAATGTCAAAAGCCTCTTTCCTAGAGCCTGGCTCTGCCTTTGACCAGTTGTTGAATGCTGGGCTATGTAAAAACTAGAGAAGACTTTCCACCTATAGTAGTGCTGCTTAGTAAAATAATCCATGTATAATATTGGCAACTTGCCCTGTAAAAGTCTACACAAATGTTTCAAATGAAACAGAAAATGTCCTCTCAGTGATGGGAGTGTACGCATCTACAGTGTGCATCAGTAACAGTAGTAAAGTTGAGAGCGCAGCCCTCTGAAGGTGTCGTCATCCTGCCCGCTGGCCTGCTCTCCCTCGAACAGCATGGAGTCTGGGAGCACCACGCCCTCTAGTGGATCCGGCTGACAGAACTCTACTATAAATTCCTCCTCACAGTCCAACAGCAGTCTCGACCACGCGCTCATGTCCAGCTGGCCTGCAGTGCCACCGTATTCCTCCGGCAGGACCGACCGCGGGATGTTCCGGTGCAGAGAGCGAAGGTCTGAGCCATGGAGGATGTACTGTCCGAGAAAACAGCAAAGACACATCAGTGACGTCACCTGCCTCCTTTATTAAAGTGGCTATGATCAATATTTCACGTACTGAGAAAGGTGTCACTCATAGTAATGAACCGACAAAGAATTATCGCTCTGCAGTGCCCCTCAGCTCTGCAGAGCTTCATAGCTACTTTCGGCTCATTGTTTTGGTTAAACTTCACTTTTTCAGTCTCGCAGCTTTCATACTGGAAAATAAAGGAGACTGAGCATTTGCAGTCAGGGCCATCTGCACAAGGAAATCAGGTCAGCTGAGTCAGTGACCTCTTTTAATCCTCTTCTTAAATCATACTTTCATCACAGAGCCTTTTCTTATTTTATTTAAGTTTTAATTTCAGTATTATTTCAATTTTTACTAACATTGTGTTGGTTTTATACTATCTGCCTTTTAAATTCTGATGGTTTTATGACTTGTCTTTTTTTGTTTTGCTGCTTTGTGAAACACTTTATTTGGATTTTGATAAATTCTCTACAAATAAAGATTATTATTATGATTATTACATGTAGTTAAGCAGCATTTTCTTGTGAAACAGCTAAAAAAAACAACAACAAAAAACGTGTTACCTTCCCACTACTGAATGCTGTTAGCAAAGTAGCTGCTTGTTGGTAAACATAAAGGTACATTTAGCCAGATATTTCCTTCGAGACTTTGGTGTGCAATTCAGAGCTATGGGAATTAATGGACTTACAGTGGACTAGTAGCCACACACAAGACTCTAAATGAATTTTAATGTTGTCTGTAGCTGCTGATTGTTTGTGTTTAAAGTTTTCCATTTTAACCTAAAAGGTGATAACATGTCAGTGTTGTGTTGACGGCTCCTTTCAGCTCCTTCCAAATTAAAAGAAAATCTGATTTGTTATTGGTAGTATGAGTTCATTCCTCTGAAAAAGAAAGTGCTTAGCCTTCCATTTTCATAGATGAAAACAGTCTTTTCGGAACACTGACTGCAGATAAAAGAGAGGCACACAATTCAAAATAGGCCTTTGTTTAAAACAATGGAGTCAGAGACAATTCAAGGACAATAGTTACCCTCTCTGCCATCTTCTCCTTCAGAAATGGCTTAATTATAGCAAAGATGCCTTTGAAAATCCTGGGCTCGTTAATTATGTTAACAGCCTTGATTCTGATTGGAAACCCATCCTGTGAATTACAGAGAAACCGCATTCAAAACACAGCAGGACCTTGTCAGATATTTCACATGACTGGTGTGCTAATGTTAATATTACACACACTGCTGTCACAACAAAACTCAGCAGGCAGTGCTCAAGAGCTACTGTTGTAAATTAGGTGTTTTCTTTTCTCACGTATGTTACAAAGATACCAATCTGATAAATAAAAATGTATTTTGAGCAAGTGCTCCAGTCATTGATCTGCTTAAGCAAAAGCCAATAAGTTTTTTCGGTTTTTTTTGCAAATATATCTCAGGATTTAATGTTTTTATCAGATAACATACATCATTTCTATTATTAGATTTACGATGTCTCACCTGGAGGATGCTCACAACCTTTTTGGCAAGAAACGGGCCTGGATTGGACGCTTGTGACATGCCCACACCGGTGTAGTCAGCTAAAATGACGATACCGTTCACCTGCGTTTCCTCTGGCTGGATCAGCTTCTCCAGAGTCAGGTAAATGGCTCTCACATTGTCAACAAATGGATAATCATTTGGTTTCCATTTTCCTATAAAAGGGGTTCCAGTTGAGCAATTGCACATCTTGAGCAAAGCTTGTCCTTGAAGAAATGTCAGTAACTGGCCAATAGAGATTCAGAATGTGCGAATACAACACTGAGTATAACCTTGACTGAATAGGTGACAGGTAAATGGAGAACAGTGATTATAGAATTGTTAATTCATTAGAAAACTACTGAATTCTGCAATGAAGATTAAGCAGACACCCACCTGGCCGCAGACAGAGGATGTATCTTCCGTTGGGGTCCGGCTGTGGCAGGACTGTGAGAAAGCCCAAGTCCAACACGTGTTTTACCGTGGACGGCTTCAGGTCCTGGAACACCTCCGGCCAAGCCTTACGTCCTGCATGGTAATTGAGTAGCAGCTGCAGGGCTCGGTCATAGTCAAACTTCCTGGCCCGCAGGAAGCGCAGGAGGAAGGTGTCATCCAGTCGGGTCCTGAGGTTGGGCTGCTCCTGCAGAGACAGATGGAAAAATTAGTTTACTGAACAAAGAGTTGATAAGTGAAGGCAAAAACTAGAGAACAAAATGTGGCTTGTGACAAAACTAAATATAAGACAATACAAAGCCTGCAAAATTATTAAGGAGATCTGAAATCAATTCATTATTCAGTGTTTGAGCTGCTGATATTTTGGTTAAAATACAAGAATCAAATGAGTTTAATGCATCTGTGTCAATACAGGCTCTACTTTAAAGAAAAAGTCTGGTGATTTTGTATATTGTTCTTACTGTCAGTAAATCATATTAAATGACCAAAACCAACAACAAAACGATCCTACTAATAGTTACTGTGCCATTTATGTCCAGAAACTATCAAAATTACCTGTGTGCCACTGATATGTTCCTACTTAACGATAACATGGGCACTTCTAGTCAATCCTACAGCGTCCACATTTTTAAAAATTTCTCATCTTTTTAAAGGCTGTCATTTTATTGTATGCTGGAGAAATATTATTAACAGTGCCAATTTTCGATATGTAGATATATACTGTATGTACTTATCTAGTATATTGTGAGATTTTTCATATCAGCCCACCTGTTTTCTCTTAATCCCACTTTCCAAATACACAGCTGTGCAAGAATACTCATTACTTGAATGTTTTCAGGGGATATAAGGGTAAAATCTTCAAATTTTTGGCACGCTTTCTACAAAGTTGCCCTGTACTATTTTAATTTTATGTCCTATGAACAGGAAAGCAGCTGTTCATGCTTATGTGAATGTCAGAAGCACAAAGCAAAACCTTAAGTATCATGTCTCTCAGTGCTTGGACATCCCGGAGACGCCACTCTGGCTTTTCCTGAAGCTCCTCTCGTGCTTTGGCCACCAGTTCAGGGGTCAGGGTACAGGAATAGATTGGTGGAGGGGGTCCGGGGAACCAGTTGTGCGCTGCAGCTGCTGATGGGTCCACCGGAGGACAATTGAGACTGATGGACTCATGCTGATCGGCCATGGGCTGACTGGGTTAAGCTGTTTTGAAAGCAACACACCAACAGACACCAGAGAGGCCGTAAAAAACTTAAAGCAGATTAGGTGCTGAGCTTACACAGTTAGTTTCAGCGATGGAAGACGTATTCAGATCTTTTACTTAAAGCAAAAGCAGCAATGCCCCAATATAGAAATACATTTAATGTATTTAAAATATACTAAAGCAGAGGTATTGGTTATATTCTGTAGCTCTTTTTGAATAATACATCATGATTCAATTACTTTACCATATTTTGTCATTATTAATCTGGTAATTCACAAAAAAAATAAAATAAAAAATCCTAAAGTATTCTGCAGCACCTTCTACAGTTAAGCACATCAAAACTGCACTTAAATAGAGTACCTGAGTAAATGTTATTAAGTTAGTTACACTCCAGTGTGTAGTTTATATCAGTAAGAAGAGACACTACAGGTAATGAGGGTACAATTTTTTCCAAAATAAATAATGTCAACATGAAACTTCCCCAGCTGGTAACTTACAATACAATAATGATTATTTTACACATTTCCTGAAATTGTATGTGTATTATTCCAAAAAAAAAAGCTGTTTACCTAAAACAAATGCCCTAACTGGAATAAGCAAGAATCATAACATTGGATTAAAAAAAACAAAATGGATAGGACAAAAACTGTTGTTGACATAGTAGAATAAAAGCTTTTCACACAAGGATTTACAAATCACTTTTCATCACTTCGTAAATCAAATGACACAGCCAGAAAAAAAGAAAAAATAATTCACAATGTTTTTAGGAAAAAATCCGGCTGTAAATAATATGTGAACAAACTGTTCTGCAAAAAACCTTCAGAATACAGATTTGATAGATGCACACACGTGGACAAAACCGTTGGTACCCCTCGGTTAATGAAAGAAAAACCCACAATGGTCACAGAAATAACTTGAATCTGACAAAAGTAAAATTAAATAAAATTCAATGAAAATTAAGCAATGAAAATCAGACATTGCTTTTGAACCGAGGTTCAACAGAATTATTTTAAAAATTAAACTCATGAAACCGGCCTGGACAAAAATGATGGTACCCTTAACTTAACCTTTTGAGGCAATCACTGCAATCAAACAATTTCTGTAACTGTCAATGAGACTTCTGCACCTCTCAGCAGGTATTCTGGCCCACTCCTCATGAGCAGACTGCTCCAGTTGTCTCAGGGTTGAAGGGTGCCTTCTCCAGACAGCATGTTTCAGCTCCTTCCACAGATTCAATAGGATTTAGATCAGGGCTCATAGAGGGCCACTTCAGAATAGTCCAATGTTGTCCTCCTAGCCATTCTTGGGTGTTTTTAGCTGTGTGTTTTGAGTCATTATCCTGTTGCAAGACCCATGACCTGCAACTGAGACCAAGCTTTCTCACACTGGGCAGCACATTTCTCTCTAGGATACCTTGATAGTCTTGAGATTTCATTGTACCCCACACAGATTCAAGACACCCTGTGCCAGATGCAGCAAAGCAGCCCCAGAACATAACAGAGCCTCCTCCATGTTTCACAGTAGGGACAGTGTTCTTTTCTTGATATGCTTCATTTTTGTGTCTGTGAACATAGAGCTGATGTGCCTTGCCAAAAAATTCCAGTTTTGTCTCGTCTGTCCATAGGACATTGTGCCAGAAGCTGTGTGGCTTGTCAACATGCAGTTTGGCAAATTCCAGTCTGGCTTTTTTAGGATTTGTTTTCAACAATGGTGTCCTCCTTGGTCATCTCCCATGAAGTCCACTTTGGTTCAAACAATGACAGATGGTGTGATCTGACACTGATGTACCTTGACCTTGGATTTCACCTTTAATGTCTTTAGAGGTTGTTCTCGGCTCTTTTGTTACCATTCGTATTATCCGTCTCTTCGATTTGTCATCAATTTCCCTCCTGTAGCCACATCCAGGGAGGTTGGCTACAGTCCCATGGATCTTAAATTTCTGAATAATATGTGCAGCTGTAGTCACAGGAACATCAAGCTGTTTGGAGATGGTCTTATAGCCTTTACCTTTAACATGCCTGTCCATCATTTTCTTTCTAATCTCCTGAGAAAACTCTCTCCTTCACTTCCTCTGGTCCATGTTTAGTGTGGTACACACCATGTCACCAAACAGCACAGAAACTAATTGTAACCCTATAAATAGGCCGACTGACTGATTACAAGTTTGTAGACACCTGTGATGCTAATTAGAGGACACACCTTGATTGAACATGTCCCTATGGTCACATTATTTTCAGCCTTTTCTAGGGGTACCATCAGAAGACTGGGCAAAGGAGAGCCCGCCTGCCCCGACGGAACGCATGCAGCGGGATACGCGATGGACTCCTGGAAGGAGTGGAGGGTCGTGTGCCTCTCTTTGCTTTCCGTGGAGGATGTTGAAGATGTCTACATAATTGGGATCATGATAACAGGTTTCCTGCTGTTTGGAGCTTGTGGGTTCCTGC